CTTCCCCACCTCCCAGGACGGAGAGAGCTCACTTACACCCCCCCCTAGGGGGACGAGTTGGGAGTACAGGGACGGGTGGGGGGACAGGGACGCGTGGGGACTTAGCTGCAACCGGACGTGCTTTAGGTCATGACGCCTTTTGCTTTTTAAAATATATTTGATTGATAATGAGGAATTTAAAATGTGGCTGCACAATGAAAGTTCCAAAGAAAAAGCAATTTGTCGGTCTTAACAAAGCTAGCACAAATTAAGGGTCAGACCCTGAGGCAGGCAGCCAGGTTCTGTGGGCGCCTGTGCTGGAATAAAGGGGCAGAAACGCCTACTGGCTTGGAGGAAACTGCCTTCTGTTCATTCCTTCATTCATTCAGATCTTTTTAAGGTTTTGCCATGATTTTGCCATGGGGCCCATGTGTTCGCTGGAGAGAGGGAAAGTGAGAAATTACTCCCAAAGGGGGATGGCCACACCACAATCCCTTCTTCAGTCTCCTCTCGGGATTTTGGACACATGAACACTTGTGTCTGGTGGGATTTTCAAGCCAGCAGGTCTGGGACTCAAACTGGTCGGCCGTGTGGGAGTCCAGCACCTCAAGCACCACCCCACCTGCTAACCCAACAGGCTTCCTTCAAACTGCAAGGAGGCTCATCTGGAAAGGCCCTCCCTGGCCAGATGTAACAGAGGACGCCTTAGGGAGGAGGACAGGGCTGAGCTGGAGTCTGTCAGCTGAAGGTCTCAAGAACGGGTTTTGGCCTGGAAGTAACATGTGAATGTCTCACCTTTCATGACTGTGGGAGGCTGCGCACCAGCAAATATTGCTGGTTTCTCAGAAAGCAAACAATTACACAATGCCAAAAGCCATGATTGGCTTCCCTTCAAAACCTCATCTTCGAAACCATACCCTGATTGGCCACTAGAGTCCCTCAGATTTGCATATGCGACAACTCATGATTGGTCCAAAAGCAACCAATCATAACCCACCTTTAACAACCAATCATAACCCACCTTTTACAACCAATCACGGCCCGCGGACGTGTATATAACCACGATGCCTGGCCCACAATCACCAGATGATGTTGGAGAACCTGAAGAGCTGAAACACTGCACAGTCTTCCGACGACCTTGAAGGGTTGTAACACTACATCGTCTCCGGAAGACCCTGAAGAGCTGTGACACCACATCCACTCCGTACTGCTCGCAATAGACGACGCGACCCTGAAGAGCCGTAACACTGCGTCGTCTCCGTGCTGGACCGTGCTGCCCACAATGAACGGACGACCCTGAAGACACTGTGTCGTCTCCGTGTTGTAACACTGCGCTGCTTGTCCGGGCTCTCACTCCTTCCCTCAGGAAACCTGTTTGGCTGTCCCCCCAGGTCAGGACACATGACCACTCCTGCGGGTGCACCCTTAGTCCTGGGTGAGAGCAGAGGGACGGGCTTGGAACCCAGGGATGGTGACAGGCCAGGCCTCCTGCTCTATCCGGGATGGCCCCTTTCATTCTGTGTGCTCTGTTTGCTCTGGGCCTCCCCAGGGCTCTGTCTTGGTGGGTCTCCCACAGCCTGCTCATGGTGACAGTCCTGCCACTCGGCCACCATGGGCAATGGGCCAGCTTGCCGAGCCTCCTCCCTGCGACTCCCACGTATGAGCACCAGGGGACAGGCCTGACTATGAGGTGAGTCCTGGGCGGGGGAGGTGAGCAGACCTGCCTGGCAGGAAAGGAGAACTCGCTCTAGGTGAGGAGGCCCACAGACGCGGCCATGTGCCCCAGCCCTTCCTAAGGCAGCTGGTGGCCCTTCACTGGGGTCCTGGGCCCCGCAGAGAGCAGACCTGCCTGGGCATCTCAGGCACTGTGGACACGGCTGGGTCAGGCCTGCTGAGCTTCTCCTGGGCCCTGGTGCTCTGGAAACATGGGGGCCAAGATTAGTGAGATCCAGTCCCAGGCTCGCTATCAGTGGGCCCTGAGACATGGACCCTCCCTGTGGGTGTTGCCCACCCCAGCTGTAAGCCTGGAGCAGGAACCAGAGGTGGCCGTGCATCCACTGGGGCAGCCCCTGCCGGGGACGAGCCTCACAGAGGGCGGCCAGGGCCCATCTTGGACCCGCTCCCACACAGACCCCAGCCGGGAACGGTCCAAAATGGTGCCTTGTCCTGGAAGGACAGCAAGACAGGCCACGCTGCAGGGGTGCCCGTCCCTGCCCTTCCTCTGCTCCTTCACCCGTGTGGCCCCGCAGGCGCGCCTTGGGGACCCTCGAGAGCTGGACGACAGGCAGATCCGGCTGAGTGTAGATCAGGGTCGGGCCAGGGGTGTGGACACCGCCCAGCGAATGCCGTCTTCTCCATTCTGTCCTAAAGGTGGACGTGGCACCAGGGACCTCGTGGCCCTGTCATGCCTGACATCCCTGGAGTTGGAGGCCTTGCAGGAGGGTACCCATCCACAGCTCGGGTCTGGGATGGATGGGGTGCTCATGGCCACCCTCGACCCTACTGCAGCTGCCCCGCCCGTGGGG